TCTGTGATATCATCCACTGGCATTTTAGGCCAAGCAAAAGTACTGAAAATGACCTCTGAAAAATAGGTACATCGAAATGTCGCCATTTTTACACAGTACTAAATCACCACTCACATTGTTATATACAGCATGTTTTGAAATCTAAATTTCGGATACATGTATTTACTCGGAGAAATGAATTTCAAAAATAGCATATTAGTGATCATGGGTATCTGTCTTTTATGAAGTCACCAATGATCATTCCAAAACGTGTCCGATAACCCTAGAATCGTTTTGAATGTTTTGGAAAATACGCAAACACGAACGCCGAAGTGTACTTTCCGCCATATTGGATAGTGTTTACAAAATCAAGTTTCACGTACACCTGTTATGAGACGCCTGTAACATCACGTATGTTTCAAACTTAGCTGCGATACATACATCCTTGAATTCCTCATACATTTTAGAATCAAATGACTAATGGTCTTTGTCACTAATACAAAGTGACTAGATGAAATCAAGCAAAAAAAGCTAGGTGAGAAAACGAACGCTGTGCTCGAAAACCTGCATTTGTTTGAAACGTAAAGAAAGTAAAATTCAGATTTTACACAGTGTAGCATTTTCTCCTCTTTTGAGCTATCCATTCGTCTATTCGTTCAAGATATTGGCTCAACATTTTCAGAATATGCATGGGAAGAGAATTGTAGGAAGAATTAGGGAATTTAAAATAGATACATTGCAATGATTTGATATTTTCAACAGAAATTGTCAAAGTTACCTTCCTGTGTGATGCCACGACTGACACAAAATCACGCACAATGACAACAGTATTTATCGGAATTTCTGACTATTTCCGTTGGTTTCAATGAAAAATATAACAACAAATAACAGTACATAGATTGTCAGAATGTTTCTGATTACTTACATGTCACATTTATGTATATATGATCCCTGAATCAACGAAAGCCCCTTCGTAAAATCCCACGTACTGTTGACAGTGAACATTTTGTAAAAGTCGGTCACCGGTAGTGATGTCATATGTCAGCATTGTTGTACATATTTGGTAATTTCTTTTAGGTGAAGCTCCTTGAATGAGAGTACACACGATCATTGTATCATGCTGTTTACAGTTTCAGTTATGATGTAGATTTTGCACATCTTGTATACAGTTTTTCACACAATTAATTTCACTTTGGATATTTGTCAATATTCAAAATGACATCATACGTAAAGATAGGCCACAACATGTATGAACGAACCTTTGATAATCCCCGGTTTGTTTGAACATTGTTTACATAAGAATTGATAGGTTTTTAGTGTCGAATACGAGATTTCTTTGCTTTAGACAAGTGTTACAAGATGAAGTGTAAATGTAACTGCATCATGTACGTATTTCTTTGGATGTGTAATAGTCAACTTTATAAGTTCATATAACCAATGTCCCAGAATAGCCGTTTCATTTTATTTTATAACTAAAACTGAATATATTACTTTAACAAAATTGGTGCCAAACAGGTGCGTGTCTTGTCCAATTAAGATACACGATAAACTATCTAATTGTTTATATATTCAAGACATTATTTACTTGGTGAAAGCAGTCATTTTATGTTGAGTTGAAAAAGCGTCAAATTCTGTTTTACACATCGAGATTTTCCATACCATGAACGAAAATTAGGGGAGTTATATATTAATCAAAATACCAGTGTCATCTTTCTCCAACGTTATCAAAGACATAAAACCCGCCATGATGTCAAATAGAATGGTGTTATTTTTTGGGTATTTCATTACATTTGATGATAAGGCTAGTGCTCCATTAATAATGGTGCAACATTAGTCAAATTACACCTACACATTCAGGAGAATTTTGGAATCTAAGGACTAAGTTATAGGTTAGATAGGGCCATCCATTTCTCTATTACCTCTTTTTTATGAAGTATGATTTCATCATTTCTTATGGGATTTTTTTAGAACTAAATGTATACAGTTTCAATATCGATATTTGTGTTGGAATAGTTTGGTTCCTCGTGAACAAAACACCACGAACATATATTGTCCTTACCCACAGCTAGTTCTCACCAAGTGACCTGAGTTACAATAAACTAGTGCTAAGTATAGCAGAGTTATGCCCCTTTTCTTTGGACGTGTGTAACCTCTCTGTAGCCTTTTGACGTCATAGAGAAAAATCAGTCTTCGTCATTTATGGCATGCTATTTTTGGCATTGAATGTATGTCGTCGTACATACGCAGCCGCATATAACTCCATTTGATATATAGTCATGTCGTTCAGATATTAGGCAGTATTTTGTTCGTTCACAGTTTCCGTAAAGCTTCTAAATAAATAAAAATTATCACACAGTACTTTTATCGATGTACGATAACAAGAGGAGAAATTTACTGTTTTTCAACGCAAAATAAACTCTCGAACAACAATTAGAAGTGTCTTTTTTTAAAAACGGTTTAATATTTGCAGTTAAATTTACACCATGAAATAGGAAATTTAATATTCTCCACCTCTGCGTAATTTTATAGCCAGAAGTAGATCCAGTGCCACGTGAGCGCAATTCTCGCACAACCTTCACTTTTCTGATCTTAGGAAAGTGTGTGTCAGAAAAAAAATATTTGGCATCCAGAGGGTTAAAAGAACAATGTTGACAGATTATCTGAGAGTGAGGAGCAGTTTTTTATTTTAACAGATTCAACAGATTTGATTAAAATGTGGCATATTTGCCATCTTTCTGTTTCTAGTTTCCTGCTTACAACATAAAAACTTCACAAAAGTTTGTAAATGATTCTTTTTCAGAAATATAATGTAATGTTTTACAGAAAATTGTCTTCTGTTAATTCATACTTGGCACCTTTGGATGATTAGCAACAATGATTAGTTCTGAAAGCAACATGGCTGTTTTGACTGAAGTCAGTATGATAGAAGGTTTGAACTTTATTTTCATTTTTCTCAAAACTGATATGCAACAGAGAAGCCATCTTCCCAGTGTTAGGTACAAGTACACAAGGAAATTTCCAAGTGTCTCGCAGTGCTAGACAATGACCAAAATTTGCCAGTGGTCCAAAGGACCAGCACCAAAAAATATTCTCTACTGGTCTCTACTAGGCACAATGGCACCTAGAGTTTAGACTCCATCTACTGCTGATTTCAAAACTTGTACAAACTTAAATTACTTTGTTCATCCCCCAAATAACACTAGACCACCGGACCACAACTTACTTAATTGTACATGTCCTTAAGAAAATATACTAGACTCGGACCGGCAGACCAGTGTCAGCGTTGAGCACTGGTCTTGACAAGACACACAACAGATGCAGCCAATCAACACGTGTACATTTCTAATGACTATTTGATGGCTGTTACATGACTGACAGGTGTGTGTTAGGTGATGCAGGACAGCGAGCGTCTGTGTTCCTACGTGTTGATTAACGACAGACGAGGCCACATGGCGCTCCTTCACACAGGTGTACTGGTGTGCAGGTGTGCAGGTGTGCAGGTAACAAAATCACAGCTCGGTCTCCTACCTGAGTTATTTCATCCCATGCGTCTACTATGAACTCATTAAGCAATTATCACCCCACCTATGTACACTTATCCTGTTTAATCGACTTCCTGTCTTATTGACTTTCTCATCACGTGTTCTCTGTCCATCATGTTGTTAGAGTAGTTGTTATTATTTAACCTCCTCATGGTAATCTCTCTCTTGTATGCAATTGTTGCTACTGTGAGTGAGTGAGTGAGTATAGTTTTACGACGCTTTTAGCAGTATTCCAGCAATATCACGGCGGGGGACATCAGAAATGGGCTTCACACATCGTACCCATGTCGGGAATCGAACCCGGGTCTTCAGTGTGACGAGCGAACGCTTTAACCAGTAGGCTACGCGACCGCCCTTATTGTTACTGTAAATCCTCCACCTACTATATACAGATTCTGTACCATGTTCATCATTCATAATCTCCTAAAGCCAAGAAATGCAATAGCGAAGGCCAAACTAACTCTATTTCTGAGAGATGGACAGCTACTCGAATGTATATAAACAGAGCAGCCAAGGATAAAAATGAAATTATATTAATATACGAAAATACAAAATAACATCAATACAAATACAGTAATTCTATGAATACCAAAACTGGCAATAGATATGTGTACCCTACTCACACACATGAGTCCCAAAGAGGGACAGGTCAGCCAAAATTGCTAAGGCAGAAGGCGACCTCTTAAACATCTAAAGCAACAACAACAACAACGCTCATCATTCAGCCTTGCTTGACAATGGTATAAGGATCTATACTGAAATGTCGCCTTTACAGTAAATAAGTTGTTGCTATCCATAAATTGTTTCTACTTTGTCATCCGTCAACTTCTAACTAATACCTATCAAACAATTTAAGTTATTGTAATGAAATAAAACAGTTGAGTTTGCAGGTTGGTTTGAATGACTGAATTGTGGGGAAATATCCTGTATCTTTCATTTAAAGTGAAAACAGTGCCATAAAAACGTTATTGTAAGAATGAGTATGTAAATAACAGTTTACTTAGACAAGAACAACAGGACCACCTGTCTACTAATGTTGCTGATGGCTAAGATCACTTTGAGGTTGGCTGGTTGTTTGGTTCGTTGTTTAACGCCGCACTCAGCAATATTCTAGCTACATGACGGCGGTCAGTAAATAATCGAGTCTGGACCAGACAATCCAGTGATTAATACATGTATCATGAGCATTGATCCACACAATGGGGATCGATGACATGCATCAACTAAGTCAGCGAGTCTGACCACCCGATCCCGTTAGTCGCCTCTTACGACAAGCACAGTCATCTTATACGGCAAGCATGGGTTGCTTCTCTTTGAGGAATGAGGCCTTGGTCATGGCAGGAACTAAGTCAACTGTGTCAGTCCAAATACTTCAAACTTAGCTATGCCCAGAAACAGGAAATGCTTGAATCCTTCCCGTCCCGTGTAGTAGTCGGAGACTTTCCGACATACCCCAAAAGCTTCATTCTCCAAACCTACCAGATATTGTGACTATGACAGAAGTCAAGTGCTGAGATTATTTGTCGGAAGAATCGCCGAGCTTCTTTTGGTGTTAGTCTGCCCTTCTTGACGAGGTAGTCAAATAATTCCCCACCAGACACATGCTCCAGTATGAGGTACCTGAAACACAACAAAAAAACATGGTCAACAGGTGGCGGAAACAGTCACCATCTTGGCAGTAGGGGAGGCATGGTAGCCTCAAGTGAGAGAGTTTGGTTTTACGCCGCTTTTAGCAATATTCCAGCAATATCACGGCGGGGGACACCAGAAATGGGCTTCACACACTGTACCCATGTCAGGAATCAAACCCGGGTCTTTGGCGTGACGAGCGAACGCTTTAACCACGAGGCTACCCGACATCCCCTTAGTCTCAAGACATTATGGGGTACCCACAGTAGAACAAACAGTCAACAGGTTGCGGAGACAGTCACCATCTAGCAAACATGGTCAAAGATGTTTACCACTTTTGTGAAAGCCACAAGTACAGGCATAATTAGGAAAGCTTATGGACAAATTACTCTTTAAAAAAGTGTTAGGTGCAACAGATTATTGGTAAAACCTCCTAGAACACACCTATGCATCCAACGGCATCCAATATGACATGGTCTGCCCCTTAGCAATATGGAATGTGTGTTAGCAGCGTTAAAAATTGGTACTAGTAGTGTAGTCCTTGCCAAACTGCCCAATAGTTAGGGTATCATAAGGATGAGTAGAAGTTTGCCGTTTCTAAGGGTTTTGCTATATGATATCATTATAAGGACTAACTAAACTGTTAGTTTCTACTGCTGGTGTTAGGCTCAGGCATAAGGTTTGAACCCAAAGCAGTCCTAGACGAATTCTGCGATTACTGGTAGAAATAAGCATGTGAAGTTTCAGCTGCATTGGTCCAGTGGTTCTAAGAAGATGCTAACCGACGCCAACTGATGGCATACAACCAGGCCATGACATAAGTTCACTTGACTTATTGTCATGTGAACTGATGAGAATACTGCCCACAACACGACGGTAATAACAGATTTCTTCATTTACAATATAAACTGGATTCTCATGTTACAAATTAGGACAATTTCTACATTTATCAATTCAGTATCCAATTCGAGTACACCTTACTCTGAAATACAATACAATTGAGAATGCATATGCTGTACAATATAGCCGTTAGTCAAAAAGTAGCTGTCAGAAAACAATTTTGCAATAATCCTAAATAGTCTCATGTTTCAACTCACAATAAACAAGCGACGGTATTTCATTTAATGAGAGTGACCTCCCCCTCAGCTACAAGTTGCTTGTGTAATGCTGCCTATCTACAGAACAATAATTCCGAACAACGTTAACAAGCATTGACGTACTGCCAAATATCCTACTCCGATCCTCCAACAGACACGAAACCAATCCGGACTAATTCCCTGACTGATCGAAATATTCATATATACAACACATTAACATGTGTATACCCATGGAAGCGCTGCCGGAACTATCTACTGTTGAGGACGCCAGCCCAGAGAGGGGGAGCCCTTGCGGTACACATGGCAGTGATATAACCCTCAAGATGGGGACAATGGTCACTCGTGTAATGACGGGCTGATCCACTACTGGCTTCTTATCGCGTCATTTACAAGTCATTAGCGTATAGAGATTGTCTGTTGGGACGATGCTTGTCGGGAATGTCAAATGTGGCTCAAAGCTTCAAAATCGAGCGTGATGGGTTTAAAGTCGCTTTGAACAGTATTTCAGTTATATCACTGCGTGTCAGGTTGATGTGGGAGGTAAGCCCGAATTGATGCAGATCTTTGACATGAATGTCACTTTGGCGATAACAATGAGCGGCCAGAAACATCAGGGTAAACCAGTGTAACCGGCAGAAATGTCATCCCAGAACCACCACCCCCCCCCAAACGCATGCACGCACACCATATAGAGGAAAGGGAGGTTCAGCCGAAACCAGATCTTTTCCCTTGCACAATGTTTAAAATAAATGTTAAATTCACATCTTCCTCCAATTATAACCCCTCCAATAGATTGCTTGAACAGAGCAAAGCAGGGAGGACATGGACATGGATGAATTGTCTCGTCCATGTTGTCAATTCTTTGCTTATAATTTTGACGCTCTCTGCTGAGCCTAAGGGACACAACTCTGCAAAGCAAATAGTGGCGCCTTAAGTAACTCAGCCACTCCTGCACCCTACCGTGACAAATCTTGTCACTTGTGTCAAATGTGGCTCAAAACCAGGAATTTAGGTTAAAATGTTATCAGAAACACACATTGAGTAAATTCCTTTTTTTTAAAACAGGAATATTCTTTTATAAGTCAAGACCCTGATATTCATTTGTAAGCTGTCAAGATTGCTTACAGACAGACTATCACAGCGGTTGGTGCTATCACGGCGGTGATGACTGGCAGACAAATCTCTTAACTTAAGTTAGAAATAATTATCTGGACGTCACAGTCTCCAAACACAAATCCATCAAACTACTTCAAATCTCAATGTCAACACGACTAAAGGTCACCACACTAAAATTTAATGTCTCTCCCTACCATGTTCAATCGCATTTAAACTATGTTGTCATGCTTTCAAATTATTGGAAGGACGGAATTCTATTGAGAAAACGGACTTGTATTAACATTATGTGTCAACACTACAAAAACCCAATCCCACGTTTGCATGGACAGGATGTGTCAATCTTTCTTGTTGTTCTGGTAACAAAGACTTGCACCATCAAGAAATTACATTTACTGATGAAACAATTACTGTGCTGAATGTGACTTGGTTTCCACGGTGATTGGGTGTGGTTTGGGTGGGTCCATTGTTACAGTTGGTGGTTTGGGTGAGGCCACTGTTACAGTGGGTGGTTTGGGTGAGGCCAGTGTTACAGTGGGTGGTTTGGGTGAGGCCAGTGTTACAGTGGGTGGTTCGGGTGAGGCCAGTGTTACAGTGGGTGGTTTGGGTGAGGCCACTGTTGTAATGGGTGGTTTGGGTGAGGCCATTGTTACAGTTGGTGGTTTGGGTGAGGCCATTGTTACAGTTGGTGGTTTGGGTGAGGCCACTGTTCTAATGGGTGGTTTGGATGGGACCATTGGTAGAACAGGTGGTTTAGGTGGGGCCACTGTTAAGAGTGGGTGGGTTGGGGTGAGGCTGACTATTAGAGTTGGTGGTTTAGTTGGACCTTACGTTGGAGTGGGGTTCTTGTGGATTCTTCAAGACATACAATTGTGTTCTCTGAAGGAAGAGCCAAACATCTGTTGTAAACCTAAAACACATCACCTTTCAGGACATCCAGTATTATATCTCACAAAAAACCTACTAAAAAAATCCCAGATGCCCTGAATCTAAAACATTCAGTGTCTCAAGAACACCAACCTTCAAGCGAGAATCGAAGCAGATTTTAACTGGGCGTATACGGTACCATCATAATAACAGGTGACAAGAACGAACCATTTCTGGTATAGATGAAGTCTCTTGGCAAACAAATTGAATTCTGGAGCATTAACTACATCATGTAGAAGATCCCCACAAGGAACGGCATATGGCACTATTTTCCCATGAAATATTCATAAGACATTCAGTGGTATGACCCGATGTTCCACGTAAGTCATGAATAAACCAAGTCACAGCCAGTGCCTCCCAACAGCATCCTCCTTTATCCAGGGTTTATATCTCCACTCATAGCTTCATGCTGAGTCCAGTTAATGGCGTGCAAATGACATGACACTGAAACTGTCCATCTGGTCAATGAGGTGCTGACTGATGGAATGGGCCCGTGAAGATCCGGGGTAGAATAGGTCTTCAGCAACCCATGCTTGCCGTAAAAGGTGACTACGCTTGTCGTAAAAGGCGACTAACGGGATCGGGTGGTCAGGCTTGGTGACCTGGTTGATGCATGTCATCGGTCCCAATTGCGTGGATCGATGCTCATGTTGTCAATCACTGGATTGTCTGGTCCAGACTCGATTATTTACAGACCGCCGTCATATAGCTGGAATATTGCTGAGTGCAGCATTAAACAACAAACCAAACCAAAAAAAACTGATGGAATGAGAGATGTACTGCAAATATCCATGGAATATACTCAACGTCATTATTGAGGGTCACGTAGGTAAAAGATAAAGTATTAAAACAACGTCACATTTTCAATTTCCAAGAGTGCAGTTCAGGTGCATCTGAAATGAACTATTTTATACCCACATTAACTGTTACGTGTCATGCCTTGCACATTCATTGTCTAAACCACTTGTTGCGTTCAGACGTGTGTTTTGTTTTTCCACCACCTTCAATCTTGGACTTTTCATTGTTTTCAACAGTCGTCCATTCTTCCAGTTTCATGAAAACATCCAATCAGTGTGACAGGCATAGACAACATGTTTTCTAACTGTTAATCACATTGTCAACATACTCAGCTTTTCAAGGCTGCAAACTGTCATTTTTCAGGTTCTTTTAGTTGGGTTATTAGCCTTAGTCTGTCAATATTTTATTAAAACCAACATACACTACTATAATATTATTCAGAAAGAGCCGCAGTCGGGTAGCCTAGTGGTTAAAGCGTTCGCTCGTCATGCCGAAGACCTGGGTTTGTTTCCCGACATGGGTACAATATGTGAAGCCCATTTCTGGTGTCCCCCGCCGTGATGTTGCTGGAATATTGCAAAAAGCGACGTAAAACCAAACTCATTCACTCACTCTATAAAAAGGAATATGACCATCACATATTTTCCAGCAAGATCTTTTTTCATGTCCAACAAAAAAAAAATATGATAAGTTTGTCATGAATTCTTCATAAATTTTGGCACACAAATCTATCACTGTGATAGATCTCAATTAGATTTTGCATGGACAAATCTCATATTGCTGAACATAGAGATTGTAATCTGATGTGCATCATCTGTCAGGCAGCATGACATGACAGTCAAGATTTGTTGTCTCCACAAGAAATTACAATTCTCGATCCAGGAATAAAAGTGTCTGTAATCTGAGAAAGAAAACTAACAGTCTGAGAGGACTGAGAAATGAAGTCACAACAGTAGGATGTTACTTCACCAACAGAATCTTCTCTCACTACGTCACTTACAAAGTTCTTGTAGAGGTTGTTTTGATTTTCATTGCATGACCAAACCCATTGTTCAT